TTTAATAAAAAAATCATTTTAAAAATAGGAATAAAATCAAAGCAACTCTACAGTTTCTTTGTTCTAAATATTTCAATCGCTTGGTTCGAATAATAGAAAATGACCAAGAAGTTTACATAAGCTCATTGAAACTGACGTAATGGGTCTCTTTTCATCTTTTGCGCGTGCAATGAGTACAAAAAGGACAGTTAGCTATTTCATTATTTCGTGTGCTTTTGTTATTTATATTTACAATTCAGTTATATATAAATTAAATACTATAAAACAGTACAAAATAACACTTTTAAATGACAACTATGATAACACAATATATTTGTTTATTGAAAATATGATACAAAATCCTGTTTTCACACTTTACTGCAGTAATTTTAACAAGTTATTATTTGTACTGCATATATTGATACTGCATGATTGACAACCGCGCAGTCACTCGAACAAACAAAGTATTGCGCGATCGACGCTCTGTATGCGATTTTAACGCCCTACAGGTGCGGACACTTTTTAGTGCGAACTCGACGTCCATTTATTGGTAGGTCAATGTATCCACTGCACTTGTCCCCCAGTCAGTTTAGGTCCTAAAACTCTGCCAAAAGTCTCTTGCGCTGAACATCTAAGACTCACTTAGCAAACAACACCGCTGAAGTGGAAAATAGGAGATTTTTACTTTTTAAAATACTCAAGTCAAAATAAAACTAGAATACCAATAAATATAATATAACGAACACACGTAAACTATTGTTATCCATAAATAGAGCACTTATTACAAAACAGCTTAAAAAACACAGTCTTGTATACAATAACAGAAATGATGTAGTTTTCACTCTCCTTTAAAATTTCTTGAAATTATTTGGGAAGTGGTGTTTGCTGAGAGATGATACGGATTGTAAGGAGTTGACATGGAGTGATCACATAAATATAAACAAACCAAGATCAATACACAATTTAGAAACCTTTTCTGACTCTTAGAAGACAATCCATTTCATCTCTAGGCAATAAGCTGAGAATGTAGTATACATAATTTTTTTTTATGATAAGTGACGGGACGAACAAGTAGTGCATGTGGAGGTAAGCGACACTCCTGTCCATGGGAGTTGCAATGTCACTCAGAACTTTCAATCGCAAAGATCTGAGGGGCACTGCCACTGCGCCCTTCACTTTAAATCACAGGCATGTGGGACTAGTCAACTTAGGTTTCTATAATGTCATGTGCCTGTAATTTAACCAGCACCCTTATATCAGAAATAAGTAATGTTATAATAAAATTGATCTGAACTAACAGAATACAAATGTGGTAAACAACCAGCAAGGCAAATTTATTTACACTCGCCAAACCCACAACTATATGGAAATGGCAACAGTTCTCAACGAAGCTATATGCTGTTGAATTAACTACAGACATTGACTAGGTGCTTCTTGTGACCCATTACTCCACTTGCCATCTCTGCAAAACTAAATTAAGAGACTCAAGATGTGCTGTGTAAATAGAGATATGGCAATGGCCTTAACTTTCTAGAACACCCTTCATCCATTGCTTCACCTGCTTTGGTCGACTGATAGCAGATTTTCAAGAAATTTAAAAAAAGTACTTACTTTGACATAACTACCTAAACATTAAAACAAATACTATTCACACATTACATACTCATTCTAAGAATTAGTCAAGCCATGCACTGCAGTTTAATGCTATATAGCTTTCTTAATTTATAATGTTATTTAAAAGAATTATTTCTGAAAGCAGAAACGTCATTGAGTGAATGGGGTCAATCCATTGACCTACCAAGAAATGGACGTCGAGTTCGCACTAAAAAGTGACCGCTCCTATAGGGCGTTAAAATCGTATACAGAGCGTCCCTCGCGCAACAATCTTCGCTTGTTCGACTGACAGCATGGTTGTCAATCATGCAAATAAATTACTGCAGTAAACAAAGCAATCTGCCTAGGCACCTTTATAGATATTGAAGGAGCCTTCGATAAAACGAACTTCTCCAGCATACAATCAGCAATGAGAAGACACAACGTAGATGAAGTGCTAATTAGCTGGATTAGCAACATGCTGAAACAAAGAACAATAAAAACAACAGCAAATGAGACCCCATGGGCAATAGTAGCGAAGGGGTGCCCTCAAGGAGGGGTATTGTCGCCTCTGCTGTGGAACATGGTCGTAAATGACCTTATCATTAAACTCAACAAAGAACATTTCTATACAATAGGATATGCTGATGACATAGCTATACTGGTAACAGGAAACTATGCCAATACACTCTGCGACATTACACAAGCGGCTCTCCGAATTGTGGAAAGATGGTGCAGAGCATATGAACTATCGGTAAATCCAACAAAGACGGAACTAGTAATGTTTACCAACAAACGACTACTAGGTAACTACCGATTACCCAAACTCTTCAGCACAGAACTACAGATATCAACCGAAGTCAAGTACTTGGGAGTAATACTGGACAACAAGTTGAACTGGAACAAACATATGGACAACAAAATTAAAAAAGCCACTATCACCTTCTGGCAGTGCCATAGAATGGTGGGTAAACAATGGGGACTTTCACCCAAGATTACACTATGGCTCTACACTGCGGTGATAAGACCCATGATCAATTACGGCGCGATAGTATGGTGGCCACGAACCAAGCTGACGACCGCAACCGACAAACTGGACAAATTCCAAAGACTAGCGTGCATGGCGACGACGGGCTGCATGAGGACAACTCCAACTGCGGCCCTCGAAGCGATGCTGGACCTTCGACCCCTCCCACTGTTCATCAGACAGGAAGCGGCGTCAACAGCAGTGCGTCTAAACAGAGCCGGCCTCTGGAAGCACATGAGGACCCCACATACAAAAATCCTCTACAAGTCTGTCAATGAGGAACCGCTACTGGAGGCGGTTGTGGATAGGATCCCAAAACAATACATCTTTGACAAGAAATATAAGATACAATTATTTGAAGATCCCAACGAAGGACTGAACCCCAGAGAGGTCCGAGTCCTCACCGACGGATCTAAAACAAACTCAGGAACAGGTACTGGGGTATTCTCAGAAGACCTCAATATCAGGATATCAGCACCGCTTGGTGACCACAACACAGTATTCCAGGCTGAATGCATGGGCATCAAGTTGGCAGCAGAAGCAATCATAGCGAGAAGAGTAAAGAACTACTCCATTCGAATACTCTCCGACAGTATGTCAGTACTTCAAGCACTGAATAGCTATGACATAAACTCAGGGCTCATTTACGAATGCCACCAAGCACTCATGGAGGTATGTATACAAAACCACGTAACTCTTCAGTGGATTAAAGGACACAGCGGCTCACGTGGCAATGATGCAGCAGATGAACTAGCCAGGAAAGGGTCGGAGACGGACGCTGTAGGACCAGAACCCATAGTGTCCCTCCCCTCCCAATGGTCTAGAACAACTATACACAAAGGTACAAAATCTTCACATAATAATACATGGACCACCCTTACGGTTTGTAGACAGGCGAGGGAAGCACTCCCAACGCTCAATGCCAGTCTATCTCGAATACTAATTAAACTTTAAAGGCAAGAGCTTCGCACTCTAACTGCCGCCCTAACGGGTCATGGTCCATATAATAAACACCTTTTCAATTTAGGTATCACAGACAGCCCTCTATGCAGAGCGTGCATGGAGGGGGAGGAAACGGCTGCGCACATCCTACTTCAGTGCTCCGGCGTGGCCAACTACAGGGCAAGATACCTTGGAGTGCCAAGGTCGCTCCCCGAAGTCTTCAGCAAACCAAGGAGGCTGCTGAGATTCCTGGAGGAGCTTGGGTGGCACGAGTAGGACCCTGCACCCACCACACGCAAAATAGGCGCTTTGTCGTCAAGTTGCGGATACCAACCCGTTGCACCAAGTACCAAGTACCAAGTACTGCAGTAAAATGTAGACAAAGGATTTTGTACCACATTTTCACTAAACAAATATATTGTGTTATCATAGTTATCATTTAAAAGTGTTATTTTGTACAGTTGTATAGTATTTAATTTGTATATAAATGAATTGTAAATATAAATTACAAAAGCAGACAAAATAATTAAATAGCTAACTGTCCTTTTTCTACACATTGCATGCTCAAAAGATGGAAAGGGACCTATTACGTCAATTTCAAGGAGCTTATTAAACTTATTGGTAAGCGATTGAAATATTTAGAACAAAGATAGTAAAAAGTTGCTTTGATTTTAATCTTATTTTTAAAATGTTTTTTTATTAAACGTTAGCAATAATGAACAAAATAGTGTTGTAATTGTTTTACGGCTTGGGATTACCTATTAGAAGTCAGAAAATAATGTCAAATATATTTTTTTTAGGAAGATTATAAAACAAAAGCAAATTTTGTCTTTGTGAAGAGCATCAAAATCACTCAAAAGAGTAATGGTTTTATTATAATTGGATTTCATAAATTACAGATATTTGAATTTACGTTTAGTTGGAATATTGGTTTATTTCTTATAGTACACGCTTATTTTCACATTTGTAGTAATATTTGTATATATGTATCTGCCCAACTCTTTATTATTTAAATCTATATATCTATATATTGTTTGATATATATAAAAATTAATTAATATTTACGATAAAGACTACTCCATTACTCTTGTATTCAAGTCATTTTCAGTCGAAGCTAAATATGGTGCATTTTGTTAAATTTACAGTTAAAGGTGAATATGTTTTTTCTGGGCCCATAAATTGTTGCAAGACAAATTAGGCCGTACTGCAATGACGTCATAATTTAAATTAAATGTTTTAGTTTTTTATATTTTGTTACATGTCCCTTTGTATAACTTTGGACATTTTTTCAGGGTTTTTGTATTAGACCCGACATCCATTTGTTGGTTGGTCAATGGGTCAATCCTTAAAAGAGAAACAAAATTTTCCCTTAAAATAATTTCTTGCAACTGTCCTGACACGAACTTTCATTTATTTATGCCCAACGCAAAAATGTTAGGCAAATAAAAAAACCACCTACCTTCCTCAACGGCACTTTAAAACATATTATTCTGGTGCCGTCTATGACTCTGCCACAGGCTTTGTATGGTATCCACCTGGAAGTAAAGGCACGAAATGTTAAATATCAACAATGACTCCCAAAACAACACTACACGTGACTCAATAAGGACTTACCTGTCAGGAATAGCAGGTGCCATTCGTTCGTGTAATTAAGTCACGATAGTAAACAAATATGCACTGTTATCTGTGTTATTAAAAAACAACATTAATTTGGACTACAAATCACAAACTTAACCTCAAATTGGTTACTATTTTGACGTTGACACGTTTTAAAGCCTGTCCACACACTCAAGCGTAAAACGTTCTCTACGCTACTGTTAATAAATTTTCCGAACAATTTCAAATTAATGGAAATTATTCCGGAAAATTCCCCAATTATTGGAAAAAACTGCAAAATAAAATAACCAATAAGAATTCAATAGCTTAACATCATCAGCATGAATTTTGGATAGCGGTTTAACATGCACAAAGTCACAAGAAAAACAATTGCTGTGTTATATCCACGCAGACTGGGCCTGCGACAAGGAAGACAGGAAAAACGATTGTGTTGCGTAATTTTAAGTGACAGTGAAAACATAAATATTTACTCCCGCCGCTTATAAATGATACAAACGAACTGACACCGTTGGCGAAACTAGTAAAAACACATTACATTGCGAGACACATTAGATTACGTGGCGCATTCAATTGCGATGTCATTAGATTAACTACCCTCGTGGCCAAACGGCTACCGTGCTGGTGTGATACGAGTCCCCGGTTCGATTCCCGCGCCGGGAGAGATATTTATATGGCCTGCATTTGTTCGCCTCGTAAGCTTTGGTGTAACTTGTGGTTGTCTAGGTGTGTGTGCATGGCGCTCGCCATACAAGGTTTCCTTAGCGCGGGGCTGTGAATGTTTGCGTTGTGTATTTAGATAGAAAACGAGTTGGCAACTTTCAGTCGTGCATCTCACTCCAAGTTGTCCTAAAAGCAGTGAAAGACAAATTCCTACTAAATAAAAAACTGGTGAACAATCAACGCTAGTCTCATCCAGGTCCATACATAACAGGAGTGAGGATAGGCTGTATATTAAACTGCGTATCAAAGTATAAATGTATTTAGATTAACAATAAAGGCTCTCTCTCTCTCTTACAGTTCAATGGCTTACTGGCCATAGCAGAACGAGGAGAGGTCGGGAAAACTAAACCGCGACGAATTAAGACGTTTTAAAATAAGTCAATACCAAAAGTCCGACTAGAAGGACTTTTTTTCCATGTTACCTTACGATGTACAATAGCGCGCCATACTCGATTATATAAGCAAAAGAGGTAATATATAGACGAAAAAAGGACTAGACAAGTCGAGAATTAAGAAGGAAAAAAAAAAGGATTTATTTACTAGATAAAAGTAATTACAGTATCCATTATCCTCTAGTATCTTTTTACATTCCCGGGAAGTTTTACAATAAATATTGGTTTCTTTGTTCACAAGGTCGTATAGATATGTAGAAAATTTAAAAAATAAACAATTTAGATTTTCAGTACAAATCGGCAATTTCATACTTTAACCCCTATTATTTTACATTGTTCTTCATTGTTTCTGTTTCGACGTTATCCCCTTGCCCTTCTTCAACTTCATTATGAATTTGCCATAGTCCCTCTATTTCCTTTTCTCTTTCTTTTGCTTTGAACAATGAAATTGGACAATGGATGCGCCTTCTGGGAATCGAACTTCTTCGCGGGAATCGAAGTGCTATTGTGCCTTAATCGAAGATTAAAACGCGAAAGTATATGAATCTCGAACTAAAATACCCGTATCGGCCCGTTCTAAGGAATCCCGAATCAATCCAAGCAAAGTCTCAAATTGCCTATCCTCTTTGTGGCGGCCATATTTACAGAAACATAAGTAAACGAAGACATGGCTCAAGGACTTGTATCCAAGCCAAAATTATTAATAAAAATGAGCCTTCGAAATTTGAAAAATTTTTTCGGAAAATTACCACCCTATTATAAATTACACAGACATTAGACGCCGCAAGTACAGCAATTTGTATGAAAACCATGCGTGCCACATTTTTTGTACCCACTATGACGTCACAAGAGCTATTTAGTGATGGAAACCTTCCGCTCGCTCTAAATCGATTGATTGAACGGAATACACGTAAACACGCATATTGCAGTCAATTAATCGATTTTAGATAGAATAATTTTTGTTCAAGTATTTGTTGATTACAAGTTGTCGTAATAATAATATAGTAGAAAAATACTAGATAGATAGTTAAGTCCTTTATTTTGCTGTTTATAATGGCACAATTATGCATTTTTCGCGTTTTCGACTGGTGTTTATTTACGATAACGGTCGAGCGCGTTCTGAAGTGTAGCAGCCGCAATTAATTGAATTTCACTTACTTTGGGCACGCCAAGTACGTACACTTGCGGCGTCTATCTAGATATATGTCTGTGATAAATTACCTACCCCTTTATACAGATTTATCCACATACTACTACCGAGCACTGGCAAGCACAGAAAAATACCTACCAACAATACCATAGACAATAAGTTCCAAACAACTTCTGACGTTTTAGAAGATTATCAGCTGTGATTGTCATTGTCAGTTATCACTGCGTAAATCGCGTTTTGAAATGAAATTAATTTTCATTTTTAAATTATTATCTTGAAATACAACGTAATATTTTTTCCGTCTTGTATAATTGTTTAAAATGTCTGAAAGTGAACCAACAGACCTTGACTGGGTGCAACTGCGCCAAGAAATGTCAAAACAACATCATGTTGAAACGACAAAAGAAAAATTTGGCCGAAAGTTAAATGAGAATCCTTTTGTTCCAATCGGTAAGTGTTTTTTTATTAAATATGTGTTTATTCTTTTTATATTGTAACATAAGCAATTTCTTTGGAAAAGTTATATCTACCAGCTACAGTTATTTTATTTCAGGTTGTTTGGCTACAGCAGCGGCACTTTCCTATGGTCTGTGGTGCTTTCGAACCGGTAAATCAAGGAGATCCCAACAGATGATGCGGTTAAGGATTGTCGCACAAGGATTCACAATTACTGCATTAATTCTTGGAGTCATGTCTGCAGGAAAAAATCTTAAATAATATCACTACGGAAACTTTTTTATCTATGATTCTCAATTTTTAAATATAATTACAAAACATAAATATAAAATTAATTATCATACAGTGAACACAATACTTAGCTTAATTTCTACCACATAATATGAAACTGTTTCCTTGTTGAATTTAAATGATTCTTGAAGATAATCACAAACCATATTATTCTGTAAAATAGTTTTTAAAGTAACAGTAGTTTATAAAGCATCTGTTGTAAAAGGCATGTAGATGATTTGTGTATATAATTAATTAGCTTGATAAAATAGAGTAGATGTATACAAATAAAACCACATTAATCAGTACTTATTTTTTAGTAAAACTTTTCAAACCTCTTGCATATTATAGGTGAGACATTATAGGTTGGTATACAAAATGGTTTTTTTTAATAGGATAGTATGGGGACATCTGAAACCATAGAAAATACAAGGAGACTGTCTGAGAAACCATTAAGTCTTTTTTCGTATAAACAATTTTGGAATAGTGAATTTTTGGTCAAGTGTGAGTTGTTCATAAATGTTAATAAAATTAGTCAAAAATTTTTTTTAGTGCTCATTGTCTAAGTTTTATTAAGGATCTTTTAATTGTATAGTTTGAATAAATCAGAACAGCAAAAGTTAAAATGATTTTTCATACAAAATGAATAAAATTGACAAATTTTTTTAATTGAAAAAAAAACACTATTATGTTGGTAAATCTGTACGGTTGAAGTGGTGCTACATTATTGAGTGATTTTACTTGGAAATGCTTCTAATCTCATACACAAGTCAGTTTATACAAAGGGAAAAGGACAGTTATATCATTTTCATTGTGTTTTTCATACCATGCTCAATTAAACTTCGAAATCTGATTAATTTCCATGACTCAAAAAAACGCAATAAATATTGAAGTAACAACGACACTGAACTGCTAAATGAAAACTGCATTCAACATAATAACAGCCTGTTTGCATTCATCTTAAATGCATATGGAAAAAAGAGTATTACAGCACCTACTCATGTTATCTAAGAATTTATTAGATTTTTTTTTCATCAAACAACTCATGGCGCGGTTCTACTTGCTCAAGCCATATGTATGTTTCTGCCTGTGTACTGTATATAAAAAATAATCACTTGTGCAAGCGAGTACACATAGTTTGGGCAAGCTTACTTTGAGTGAAACTCCAATTTATAAGCAAATTTTTAAGGGTTTATTTTATTAATAAAAAGGTATAATATTTCCCGAAGTTTGCTCTACATTATTAATAGTCAACTGGTTATATACTCGATGTAGTCTTCGGGACATGAAAAATATGAAATGTCTGAATGTGAAAATATAAAACTTGGTCTACAGCCAAAATTTACTGCCTATACACTTTTAAGTATGACACAATTATAAAATTTTGCATAATCAAATCAAAATCAAATCAAAATTATCTTTATTTCGTAGGTAAACAAATTACACTTGAAATCGTCACATTTAACATATTTTTACAGCCATACCGCCTTATCGTTTAAGTAATCAGTAACAGCGTAATATCCTCCCTTAAGTAAGGTAGTCTTTACATGTTTTTTAAACTTATCAAAAGATAGATCTAAAACAGCTTTTGGAATCTTATTATAATACTGAATTCCTTGCCCCACAAAAGAACGCATGACCCTTTGAAGTCTAAATTTCGGTAACACGAGTTTCCATTTATGTCGAGTATTAAAATTATGTATGTCACTTCGTTTATTATATAATTCATTATTAAGTCGTATAAAAAGTATACAATTGTAAATAAATTGTGATGCAGTGGTCAATATACCAATTTCTTTAAAAATCTCCTTAAGTGAGGTACGTGAACTTAATTTATAGATTGCTCTAATAGCACGCTTCTGCAAAATAAAAATTGTATCAATATTGGACGCTGCGCCCCACAACAAAATCCCGTATGACATTATATTATGAAAGTAACTGAAGTACACGGTTCTGGCTGTCTCGATGTCAGTAAGTTGTCTCACTTTTCGCACAGCATAAGCAGCAGAACTAAGCTTACCGGCCAATGTCGAAATGTGTGGATTCCATTGCAGTTTTGAATCCAACTTTATTCCCAAAAAGATGGTGGTGTCCTCCAAATATAATTGTTCATTATTAATTGTAATGTCAGTTGTTACATTCATTACATTAGGTAACGTAAACATGACACATTTCGTTTTCTTGGAATTGAGCTTCAGATTGTTTACGGTAAACCAATTCTGAACCTCCGAGAGAGCACTATTTACATCGTCATAATTAGATTTATTTCTATCAATATTAAATATTAAGGAAGTATCATCTGCAAATAGCACAATCTCACAGAGATCCTGTACAAAATAAGGAAGATCGTTGATATAAATTAAAAACAAGAAAGGTCCTAAAATAGAGCCTTGCGGGACCCCCATTCCTACGTGAGATCCAGACGACTTCACCCCATTTACATCAACTGTTTGAATTCTAGCACTCAGATACGAAATTAATAGTTTTAAAGCTGTCTTCTGGATTCCATAAAATTCTAATTTTGAAACCAACGTCTGATGATTAACGCAATCGAAAGCCTTAGATAAGTCACAAAAAACTCCAAGAGCATTTTTCGACAGCTCCCAAGCCTCAAAAATGTGCCTCAACAGTGCTGCACCTGCATCGATAGTCGAGCGACCTTTCGTAAAACCATACTGTTTACCGTGAAAAAGTTTATTTACCTCAAAGTACACAATCAGCTGGTCAAGAATAATTTTTTCATAGATCTTACTAAGAGCTGGTAAAATTGAGACTGGTCTATAATTACTAGGATCACTTTTATCACCAGATTTGAACAGAGGTATAACTCTGCTAAACTTCATAAGGTCGGGAAATATCCCATGATCAACACAGCTATTAAAAATATCCGCAAGATAGGGAGCAATAGATATTACGATTGATTTAATGACTCTAATTGAAATACCCCATAGATCACCCGTATTTTTTATTTTAAGTAATTTAAAAGTTTTCATAATATCTTCAACAGAAACATATTTAAACTGAAATGAGGTACAGCACTTCGATACACATCTCGTAAGAAAGGTCATTGCATCAGTTGATGATGAATTTAAATTCGAAGTAGTAGCTACTGGTATATTTTTGAAAAAATCGTCAAATACTCCGGCCACCTCTGCATCAGATTCGACAATATTATTGTTGATTTTCAGAGAAACAGTATATGAACGTGGTGTGTTTTTACCAGTTTCATTATTAATAACTTCCCAAGTGGTCTTAATTTTATTGTTTGATTTTTTTATTTTATTTCGAATGTAGATAGATTTAGCTAATAAGCAAACTTTTTTGAAAATTTTAGAATATTGTCTAACATATTTTGCAAAAGACTCAGATTGATTGCATTTGTTCTGTTCATATAAATCGTAAAGCCTACTTCTACTTTTATAAATACCCGTCGTGGCCCAGTCGCAAAACTTCAGTTTAGGGGAATATTTAGAGAGCTTAGTGGTAAAAACACCATCAAATTCTTTTTTTATTAAATTAAAAAGATTTCCAAAAAGTACATTAGGATCATCCCGTATAAATGGCAACGTAACTATTTTATTGTCAACATTATGTTTAAAACTTTCCAGTCGTTTTTCAGTTACTGGTCTGCTCTTGACCAACCTAGGTTTGTTCGATATTTTATAATGATACCTTACATGCAGACCATAGTGGTCGGATGGAAGTTTATTAAATACCGATTTGACAACAGCATCACAATTTGAAAATACGTTGTCTAAACATGTGGAAGAATGAGTCGTCACTCTAGTGGGTTCAAGGAACTGATGATATAATCCAAAACAGCTGAATAAAGACATTAGACGGAGAGTAATAGTGTTATTTTCGAGGACATTAACGTTAAAGTCCCCGCATACTACAACAGATCTATTCTTTGATTTCAATTTCCTAAGTATATCCTCCATAATTGATTCAAAGGTAGAAAAGTTTCCCAGAGGGGGTCGATAAACACAAACAATAACAAAACCGACCAATTCCACACAGGATATCTCAATGGTACGTTCTTCTGAAAGATCCACTATATCTTTACGGTTTTTACATTTCAAGTTATTCTTAACGAATATCACAGACCCACCATGAACAGCTGTTTGTCGTTTATACACACTGGACATACAATAATTTTTTAAAGTAAATGATGTATCATATTTTTTTAGCCAATGTTCAGTTACACATAACATATCTGTATTATGTTTATCCAAAAATAGTTCCAATTCCAAACCTTTGCCAGCCAAGCCCTGTATATTTTGATGAACTATGTTTAAATAAGGGGTCCTGGCTTTTGTCTTACATTTCAGTTTAAAATTGAGTTTATCATTGAGTTATTACTATTTAGATTAGAAACATTTGTAGAACTACTAGTGTAATCACAATTTGAAAAGGTCTTCATCGTGTTACCTATAACTGTGTCATGTAAATTAAAAGCTAACAATGCAGCAATCTGCATCCTAAATCTCTTAGTAAGATACATCGTATCTGCAGTCAAGATAAAATTATTAATAAATTTATTAATGTCAAAAAATAAAATTGCGTCATTATGACGACATATTATGTTATATAGATACATATTCAAATCTCCGATGCGCTTATTTTGTACCCAAGTTAAATTTTTAGCGTAAGGAAAAGCACTAATAATAAGTTTAAAACCAATTTCGGCTTGTAATTTTAGCACATTATTTACATTATTTAAAATATCCCTTTTTGTTATCCGGGTACTGTCACCACATAAAATTATTACATTGGAGCAACTGTCCACTTTGTGTTGCTCAATGCTTTTTAGTATATTTACAAAAGATTGTCCTGGGGTACATATATTTAAAAATGAATCTCTATAGCTAATTCCAATAGTCGAACCAAGATCCTGACCTAGCTTATCTGAAAACATTATTGTCTTATACTGAGTCTTAACGGTCTGTTTGCTGTAACACTTTTGTAAAGAATCAATGCAGTCCGGTGAATGACTAGGACTCTGGAACATTAATTTGTCATTTTGAATGTGTATGCTGGAAATTACTGATGAATCCTCATTGGTACTGATTAATTGCTTTTTAATTACTGACTCGTATCGATCTATATTATAATTGGAAAGTTCAAGCAATGTCGTGGCAGACTTTATGTGTTCTTGAATTTGATTTTGAGCAATTAAATATTTATTTTCTATGTCTACAAGTGATTCTTGTAATTTAATAATATTACATTGTAATTGTTCAGTGTCCCTGTCATACATCCGCCTACATTCACTTAATTTACTATCATAAATTTCTAATGAATCTATGAGACATATACGTTCCTTTCTTAATGCAATATTTTTATGAAAACATTTATTTTTCTTAATTAGTTTTTCCGTTTTCCTTATAATCCTATTCACTTTGACATATTTCTTTAACTTATTAGAACCCAAATTTAAGGGCCTAGCAGTATTATTGTGACAGGTGGTTTGTATTTGTTTTTCTGACTGTACTCCAGGTGATAGCAACAGTTCATCGAAAAGACTTTGAGCATGCTCTGGCTCCTGCAATTTTTGTTGCTCAAGGAGTTGAGATATCCTCTTGTTGGCAACAATCAATTCACGTTCCAAATCTGTGATGCGGTTAAGGGCCCGCTCATGTGTATTAAGTTGCTCATCAATGCTGCTGACTGTAATTTGAAGCAACTCTTTTTGATTTAGTACCTCCAAATATTGTGCATGTAGTTGCGATAGCTCGGTCTTCAGACAAGTGTTACGATCAATTACGTTTTTAGTTTCCTCCTCATTCTCATCACGTTCACGTAAGAGTTGACTACATGTCTCCTTGGTTTGTTTAAGTTCTTCCAATGCCTGTTTTAGTTTCAATTCAGCACTTTGTGCAACAGCTTTGCGGGTCAACATGTTCAAAGTAAGTTATAAGTTACTTTTTTATAGAAAAAAAAAAATGTATGAGAGAGGCCTATATCCAGCAGTGGAGTGGATAGGGTGATGGTAATAATATAAATGTTATAATAATAATTATAAAAACAAAACAAAAAAAAAAACAAAAAACAATAAAGAACTTTTCGTAGGTGTGATTTGAACCCAGGACCCTTCAAATAGAGCCGCGGCAAGCTGTGTGTTCAAACCATTTGACCACGCCACTCATGACGTATAACAGCGAAATAGTCGTATACTTTATTCAACTCTGTTTGTCGAGATCGATTAATAAGTATATGAGGGTATTAACAAGTCCTAGTACGATACCACTAAATAGATCAATTAACGATATTTGATGGTAATTTGTATCTGTATAGAATTACACTATTTAGCACTGGTTTAAATCAATATAGTTTCGACACTTTTCACATTGATTTATCAGAATGTTTATTATATTAGAATGTAATACGTAAGTCACTTTCAGTTAAAACACTTTCACTTATATAAATTTTAGTTAATATTGCATATATATTATCACAAACGATTGTGTATGATAATTACGGTATTTGTTACTATATTTTTGACTTGTCAATTAAAAATCTACATTATTTCCAATCAAAACAAAAAGATATCGTAGACGGTTAATGTTTACTTTCGCACGTCACGTACGTCTATAGGCGACGTAATTACAACCTGGGTAATATTTAACTCTTTGCGGCATAGATTTATGTTCTGATTAATTTTTTTTTGTGTCCTCATGCTTAATCAGGATTAATTACAAGCATTCTTGCACTTTTTTTTATAATTCGCATGCTGGGGTGTTACGTAGGAGGTGGTCACTATTAGTAACCACCATGAAGAATGTGACAAAAATCAATTTAAAATAATTGGGCTTTATTGTCAATATTGAACTTGTTTTATTCACTGAATTTATGCCAAAAGAAACGAGTTCGGAGCTTCGGAGGAGTAAACGTGTTTTGAAATGGGTTTGAATAATAAATAAACAAAATTTTCATAAAAATTTAATTTTTCTGATCCTTGAAACATGATTTCACCTCACTATAGCAATGAGGGACTGCATGTTTTGCAGCTTCAAATAGACCCAGATATTTTTTTCGTGCTGCATCTGCTGCAGCACTAAGAGAAGAAGTAACTACACTAAGTATCTATAACTTAGGGTCTTTTTTATTTCAACCTCCAGATTCAGCGCTATGAACACAGTAATTTCCTCTTAGTAACAAATTTATAAGGAACTTCTTTCAGTTCCGCATGAAGATTGGTATGGAATGCTATATGCTGAATGATCTCTTCAGTCCAGAACAGTTGGGATACCTTTATAGGAGTCCGTTCTTTATGAGCAGCTAAGCATATTTGTACAGGTATATGGTCTGTAATGAAATGACGTATTCTTCTTATTATAAAATGGTGTAAGATTTTTTCAATTTTGGAGTGCCCGAGAAGCAGGTGGAGCTGATGGTGGTAGTAGTGGTTGGGAAGTGGCTAACGGTACATCATCATCAGGCCAACTTCTTCGACAGGAGTTATCTCCACATGAATCTTCGCCGGGTTCTTCCTGATCCTGATTGATAGTTTGATCATCGGTCTGCGAACCATCTATACCTGCACTGCTATCATTACCAGAAGAAATATTAATATGTTCTGATAAAATATATTCAATAATCCTTGCGGATTACGTCTTTCTCGCCATTATCTAAAATAAATGAAATATAATTTTAGCTTGTATTTCCTACAAAAAACTACGCTTATTGATCGGTGGTTACCGCCGGTAACCACTTTAGTTATCAATGTATTGCAAAAGAACGACCACAGCTTTTTTGTACATTTTAACGTAGTTTCCACGGACAATCATACATCAACTAAATTTTCATAAAGTTTATACATAATCATTAATAATTACTTACCAATTAAAACAAACTTACGCATTCGGGTCAAGTCAGGACTTGAGCAGACTTGAGTATGATTTCAAGCACTGGAAATACGACTCTAATCGCAAGGACTTGAGTATAATTTTCATTGCTTTAAATCATACTCAAGTCCTGACTTGAGCATTGAGTAGAGTTCTGGAATACGACCCTAAAGTTCGTATTATAGAACTCTACTCAATGCTCAAGTCAGGATTGCAATTGAAAGACAAGCACTGGAAATACGACCCTAATGGCAAGGACTTGAGTATGATTTCGAGTGTTTTAAACCATACTCAAATCCTGACTTGAGCATTGAGAAGAGTTCTAGAATACGACCCTTAGGGTCGTATTCTAGAACTCTACTCAATGCTCAAGTCAGGATTACACTGGAAACACAAGCACTGGAAATACGACCCTAATGGTAGGGACTTGAGTATGATTTCGAGTGCTTTAAACCATACTCAAATCCTGACTTGAGCATTGAATAGAGTTCTGGAATACGATCCTAAGAGTCCGTAGACACGCACAATTAATTATTATATATACTACTGTATGTGTTGTACTTTATTATTTTGTATGTACGTACGTACGTTCATTTAAAGCAGTTACTTTTTGTCTATGGACCATTAATGTTTGCTTGACATTCTGTTCTTTCATTCGTTCGCTCACAAAAAATAAACACTTCCGGGACCTTCCTTCCACTTCTATAGTAATTCGATTTTCTTTGCACTCTATACCCAAACATGTTTATGTATAAATAATTGATGAACATGCATGGATTTATAGCTGTGCATTGTGGTAAGTATACCTATGATTATTTTCATTGATAATTTTGCTACTTTACACCTATACCGATTCGAAACTGTAGTTTTACCTTTTGTCCTTTGCTAGGCGCAGGCTATCACAGCGATACATTGAAGAAAGAATACCAAAAGGTTTGCTATGCGGCCTGTAGAAAAGCAACACAAGCTCTTCGTGAAGGTGGAAATGCTGTGGAAGCTGTGGAGAAAGCAATTATTGGTTAGCAATAGATATTTGTTATATTTTATTTTATCCCCTTCATACTCAAGACATGAGAAAACGAAGTCAACTAACCATTGTTTGTTTCAGAATTAGAGAACAGCCCATTAACAAATGCTGGCTACGGCTCCAACCTCAGCTGGAATGGTCTAGTGGAATGTGACGCTTCCATTATGAATGGTCAAACTCTACACTTTGGTGCATGTGGGGCAGTGTCCAATGTGTGGAATCCTATCACTTTGGCAAAGCACCTTTGCATAAAGCAATGTAACAGTTTATCACTGGGCCGCGTACCACCATGCATACTTACAGGACAAGGAGCCAAAACATGGGCAGAAAGAATGGGCTTAGAAATAGTTGACAACAAAAGAATGATCTCTGCTCGCGCATTACGCAACTATAAGCATTGTAAAAGAAAATTAAAAAGATATTCACTCCAGAATGATATAAAGTTCAGCCCTCTTGATACAGTTGGGGCAGTATGCGTTGATTCGAATGGAGTAGTGGCAGCTGGAGCAAGTTCTGGTGGTGTTTCACTGAAGCATGAAGGCAGAGTAGGACAAGCTGCCTCATTTGGCAGTGGTGTGTGGGCAATCATGAGCAGAGATGGAGCGACTCCTTCCATTGCTTCATGCACATCTGGATGTGGTGAACATTTAATCCGGACCCAATTGGCAAAAAATACGGCAGAGAGTTTACTTCAACCATCCCCAGTAATAAGTCTAGATAAATGTCTCAAAGAGGATTTTATACAATCTCCATTTTTGTGGGATGTGTCTGAAAGGTTGGGAGGAACCTTAGCTATGAAGTTTGACCCTCAAACTGGATATGGAGACTTGCTATGGGGTCACACAACAAAAACCATGTGTGTCAGTTACATGTCTACAGAAAGTGAAAGACCAAAGGTAAAATCTAATTTGTCAACTTGTACTTTTTATATTTATGGATCTTTGTAAAATATTTTTATTTTCATGTTATTTCAGTGTGTAATTTCTCATCTTCCATCTAAAGTTGTGCCTGGATGGAAAGCAGTTGTGTCTGGTCAGCCTTTTAAAGTTCCTATCCAACCATTTCCAGTGCTGCAGTGGGAGATCAAAACGGATCTCAACTCTAATGGATCTCTTTAGGTTAATTATGTACATTTGTGAGAATGAGCAATTTGTAATAGATAAGAAAACTCAAACAATATCTATAAAAAGCTAATTTTGTGTGGAATGTGAACTGTGAAACTTCATCTTGTGTGCATTGTAATTGTGACAGTGCACTAGATTTTATTTAAAAGAATGTTAGAATAATATGCTTTTACAACTAAGCCACTTGTATAATTGATTAGCTAGCCTATATTGAGCAAAAATCTAAGATGCATTTAGATGTAGAAAAATGAATGCAAATTATATTTAGCAAAAAGGTTTGCGATTTGTTGCTTTTCTCTTACGAGCTTTAATGTGGCATGAGAAAAGGCAGTGGAAAGAGCAAAGGCGCGGCCGAACTGATGAATAATTTTCAAATCTAAACACGGCCCGGTGAAGCTGATTTTCAATGGTGCAGTGTTTTGGTGCCAGTATCTAGGCATCCCAGCACAGGCAAGCAACAGCAAACTTGGCACCAGAGTGCTGAAAATGGAGTGGCTGCCTATTTTTGGTAGCTGTTAGTCACTAGACAGGTAAACACTTAAATTTGGAATTGCCATAGAATTTATTTGCTAATTGTAATTAACTTTATTGAATATCAGGATGTTTCACCACCATTATATTAAATTATTTTTTGTGAAATTGCTCCATTAGTTTGTTATAATTAATACAAAGATTGAAACACTTAGAAAAATTCTTTTTATCTGGTTGGATTTGAACCAGCGTCTTCTAGCAAACCGTGGCGGATGCTATGTGGCTTAGTTGGCATAGCGTCTGTCACGGTTTGCTAGAAGACGCTGGTTCGGATCCAGCCAGATTGAAGGAATTTTTTCTAAGTGTTTCAATCTTTGAATCTTTGTATAATAATTCAGTGCCTCCAGTGAGAAACGGAATAAGACGAGTTATGCCCTTTTGTTTTTATTGCACCATTGGCTTCAGCGTATCCGATTACATAACATGTCAAAAGGATATCTCTCTAGCAGTCTCCTAACGTCGTTTTCCTTACTCCACTAAGGGCATAATTTTAGTTATCGGACATTTTTTATAAGTCTAACGGTACAAGTGCTTTCAACTCAAAAATTACATGGAAGTTTAACGAATAACTACAGATATATTTTTACACAAAGACACTTTTCGTATTGTTCCATAATGACGGGGAAGAAAAGTAGGACTAAAAGCGACTGTTGCCTTATTCCACAATGTACATAAAGAGTGTACATAAAGGTATAACTGAGCATTCCGTTTGTTCCACTGGACACGATTGGTCATACTTTTTTTTTTTTTTTTTTAAATAGTTCGCAACAGAAAACTTCTCGTATTATTCCTTTAACGATTTTGTCTTTTATCAGTGAGGTTAGTACCATAAGTATTGTTATAGCCATAAAACAGTTGCAGTCAAGGGAATAAGTCTAATTATGTGTTCAAGTTCGTTTACTTAAGTCGTGTTATTATCGTTAAGCACACATAAACAAGAACGCAACTCGAAAAAAACTTAAAAAATATATATATAATATGACTGAATGTTTAACCAATACCAGTTAAACGAAAGCTTAGATATGAAATCATAAAATGTACTAATAATATATGCAAACAACCAATAATAATATGTCGCGAATGTGGATTGAAGACGAATTTTAATGCTCGTAAAACAAAAAATATGCAGAGATATTTATTTAAAATTTGTTCCAAGCAATATCGTAATAGATTCGTATCAGACGCTACTTTTGTGTTACTGAATGGCGTTAGCAAAAAGCTTGAAATCAACACATCCATAACTTCTTAAATTGTTACGAAGTTTTGTCATGAATTTATTTTGCCCCTGTCACGAACGCGTCTACAGGACCAATGTTTATGTCATGGGGCCAGGCGCTAGCATGTCTGGCACTGGCGCTGAATGCTGTATCAATGTAATTAAGCCAAAATCGCAATCAATGCGTTTGCCACTGATAGGTATGCAGACATATTAACCGCATTTCCAGTGAAGACAAACACATATTAATGTGCGTGCATGAAACTAGCCCTCTAGATGTAGTGGTGGCCATTGTGTATAGTTATCAATTTGCCAGTGTGTTAAGGTACATGTAAAAATAAATACCCGTAATATCTTATTTAATTAAAAATGTATTTGTAAAAAAGACTAAGTTCATGAAGTCATGTGCTAAGATACATAAATTCGGTGAGAGGCAAATGTTAAGTACATGTGACTACATTATAACCATTGCTTACTATAAAACAATACATATGAAAGAAAATACAGTATTTAGAAACAATTTTCGTAATTTCATTAATTGTAAACATTACACATGTCACTAATAATACTATTTGAATTTGTTTAAAAGCACCTTAGCAATAGTACCAAATAGACAATTTCTTAAATTGGATTTTATTTCGCTCGAAACAGAAGGCACTACAATTTTATAAGACGTTAACTATTACTCAACGCTAGCTATAATATGAATTTTTATGGTCCATAATAAAATAAAAAAGAAGTCACAGAGAAAAGGATACAAAAGATGTCATAAATGCTTAAAAATTAAATTAGTATGCCATGTTTACAGAATTTTATTCATGTTATTACTGAATACTAAAGCTAAAATAATAATAAGCCTAAACTTAACATTATTTTTTGATGTATTATATTTGTACTGTTACTAAAATTGAAAAGTTGGATATCCTAGACCAACAATTTGTATAACATATTTCATTGCCTATTATTATGAAATATCGCATTAAATTCAAAACTTATTATCACGTCCGTTTAAGAAATAAAATATTTTCTATTGTCACACAAGTAAATAATAATGAAACTATTGTACATGAACATTATGCTTTATACTTAAAGTATAGAAATTCATAATATTAAATGGTGTATAGACTTAAAAACTAAAGTAGCTGTCACAGAATCACTGGCAAGGAAATGTACCAATCAATCATTTAATTATTACAAAAATGTAATTCCAAAACTACCATCAAATATCAAACAATTCTGAGGACACAACCACTTGGTACAAACATTTCCTTTTAACAAATACGTAAATAAAGAGCTGTAGCCTCAAAATATAGAGAACGTCTCATTTTATGGATATAAAACTGTTAAAGCTTCAAAGAATTTTCGATTGCAAAGATTTAGGTTTTCCATGCAAAGAATTAAAATTAAATGCCAAAATTAATACTGTTATTAATCTAAGTACAATTCTCCCAATGTAACTCAACAATCAATCATTGCCAATAGTAATAAACATTAAATATAAATCCAATATCATCTCTAAGTTACATTAGTAAAATAAAATCGTCTCAAAATAAAAATGTATCGACACAAGACTTTATCATTTGAGAATAATTTGAAAATCAAGGCATCCTTTCATCACTCAATGGAAATCTTGTACCCCTTGAACTGCTTCATAGTATGAAATTTATACACAACCATATTCATACCAGATAGCAGATTCCTTGGAATTTTCTGGTTTATCGGTTCTGGAACGTCGGTCTGTTCGAGATAGGTCTCTTTCCTGTAATCTATCCTCAGCATTAGGTTGTGGTTCAGAGGTAGACCTGTCAGTCGGCCTATCAATACTTTGGCAAGCACCGTCACCAATCACCGTTGATATTCTATTGTACACCAAATATGTCGGATTCTCTTTGATTGGGGTGCTCTGCGGTTTTGTGTTAAGGTTTACTTCAGTATTATCATCTGCTACATAGACAGTCCGCCGAGAACCAGCAGTACCAAACACTGGAGAAGGTGTAGAAGCTGAAAAAGATGAAGGAAATTAGATTTGCAAATTTAAATTTTTTCTTTCATTAGAAATGAAAATGAGATAAAATTATTTTGTTGTACCTGCAGGTAATCCAGTGTCAGTTTCCAAACCTTGGTAACTGTTCCTATGTGATGATGGGACAGTTTTATGAGGACGTCTTCGAAGGGATGCTCTAATAAGAGCGTCGTCTCCTCCGCCGCTGTGCATCGACGTCGTAGACAATCGTCTAACAAAATTACTTTCACTTGCTAATCTAGACGAATCCAAACTTGGGATAGATCCAGTAACATCATGGTTTTCAGATTTCTTCATTAGCTTATCATCAAACCGCCTGCTAAAATTCGAATCCGAACTATGTCTTGGCGATTCTACGCTCAGATTTGAAGAACCTTGATCGGGATCGGAGGTTTTAGAGCCTTTTTCTACATCTTGGCTGCCTGGATCTGATTCACCAGATTCGGACCCAGCGAGAGTTAATTGCGACTTGGAGCGACTAGCATCCTCAATTCTCTTATTATTTCTTGACGGAACTTTATTAATCAAGTCAGTACCTGCCTTACGGACCCTTTTGACAAATGAAGCACCAAATCCTTTTCTTTTTGTTGTACAGTTGTCTAATTTTTTATAATGTTCCATAATTTTCTCTTCGAGTTTTTCCTTTTGACGACATAGTGCATTTACTTTATCGGTAAACATTTTCTCTTCTTCATGATAGTGTTGCTTATCTTTTAGCGAATGTGCTAACAACTCGTGGTATTGAGTCAGAAGTTGCGAGACATGATCCATAAGGGAACGTCTATCTGCGTCTAGGCTTTTGTTCATTTGCACCAACATTTCACAGTGTTGGTTTGTTTTGTTTATTTCCAACTCCATACTTGTGATAATTTCAACTTTTGTATTTATATCACCTGACAACTCGGTGTTTCGGAGTTTCAGTTGAGTTACTTCGCTTCTTAGATTACGGTATTCTTCTTGCATATTTCGGTACTCATTTTTTAACCTGTCACTGGCAGTGAATAGGTTTCTGAAATCGTCTTTGAGTTTAGAATGTTCAGCTCTAAGATTAGTTAGATTGCGAGACTCGATTTTTAAATTCTCCCGTTCTAATTCAAAATCTGCGACTTTCTTTTCAAAAGACGCTAATTTTTCCTTTAACTCTCGGTTTTCATTCTTCAGGTCTCGCACTGTAGTTTTCACTGGCTCTCGTTCACTGAGCAACATTTCGTATTCAGTATTCAACTGCTCATGTAGTGTCTGTAAAGCTACTTGATCTCTTATAAGTTCATCTTGTTTAGCCTTCAGAACTTCCAATTGCTTAATAATTTCTTCTTTTTCGGCTGCAAGTTGACTATTAGCCAGCTGTAAAGTCATTTGTTGTGATATTAAAGAACCATTTTGAGAATTAAGGGTTGCGATATTTACTTGTAATTTTGCATTTTCAGCTTGTGCGGATTCTAGTGAAACTTGCAATGCTGCGAGGTCAGAGGTTAACTGTTCGATTTGGGGATTTATTGCACTTTGTTCAACATTCACTTCTTTATGATTACATTCACAAGGCACTAGCTTTGTTGTTAAATTAGCTTTAGCTGCAATTTCTGTTATTATGCCTTCATGATCTGCGTTAGTCATAATTTTTTCTAATAAATCGTCCACACTGATATCTTTGCTTATCACTTCAGAAGCATTGATACCGAGCTTGTCCATGCAATTCCTCAGTTTGTCAAAATTTACTTTTTCTGAAATCAAGTCCTTTTGCAATGTTTGTATAGTTTCAGAATCCACTTTCTTTTGTGATTTAAGCTCTTGGGATTTCTGTTCGAAATCTTGTAATTTGCTTATTGTATTTTGACTAATATCTAACTCTCTGCTCAATCTTTCGATTTCTTTTTTTTTTAACTCAATCTCAGTTGTAATTTTATCCAATAAGACGTCTTTTTCTTCAACTGCTTCTCTTAGTTTGCCTACTTCTCGTTGTAAGTTGTGCGATTCTTTTTCGCTGTACGTTAATTTTGTTTTGAGCTCTTCAGTTTGTATAATAAGGCCAGTTACTTTATCAGCCTCTGGCTTGAGAAGGTTCAGTTCTTTTGTTCTAGCATCTAATGTCTTTTCTAAATCGTCAGCTCTTCTTTGTATGGAATCACACAACATTTGAATTCGTTGCTTGTCTTTGGTAAGCGACTCTAAGTGCTTTTCGAAATCTTGCAATTTATTCTTTTCAGAATCTCTATCGATAGCTTGTCTGTCGATAAAAGATTTCTGACTATCGAGCGAGTCTTGTAGTTTTCTATTTTCTTCCAAAGCATTCTTAAATACTTCTTCCAGTTCCGAGTTCTGCTGCATGACCCTATTACAATTTTCCTGTAATTGTTCGCATTTCAATGTTAATCTCTTTTTTTCTTTTTCTAATTCTAAAATCTTATCACTGCTTTCTAATAAAGATTGCTCTCTTAAACTATCAATTGTCGAAAGAAGTCTCTTGTTTTCTAATTCGAGTTTCAAAGCCCTAGCTTGCGCGTTGCTCGTCAGTTGCTCCGATAAGCTATTTTCACCAGATTCCAAAGTACTCTCACCCTCATTATCTGAATCCAAATTGCTGTTATTGCTTTCACTCAATACAGATTTAGTTATATATTGAAGATGGTTATTTTCTTCAATCAATTCTTGTATTTTTCGTTGATCAGCATCCCTTTCCTAAAAATATAAGAACTCAATATGTAATTTAAATGCTTTACATCTTTAATCACAAATACGTACAATTCACACCCCTTTCCTATCAGGGTAGGCAGAAAAAACAGGCACCCACTTGCTACAATCTAGACATACAGTGGTGGACACATAATTAAAGACACTTAGAGAATATTATTTTTTCAAAGTTTACTTATCCTATATTTTTTTATTATAATGCAATAGGAGCTTGCAATATTATTTAAATTATTCTAACGGGTCTCGTGAAATGTTTGAAATGAAATAAAGAGAACGAAGATGTCGTATTTTAAATTTTTATTAAGTTTCTTTAATTACACCGTTATAAACTAATACAAAAGCTTGGCCAACTAATTAAAGACACACAAATCATGTAACTGCAAAAAAAATATTACAAATGTTAAAACGAATTTGAGTATAAAATTAGTTTCAGATGTATAATAAGAAAATAAAAGCACGTTGTTAATATTTTGTCGCATGTCCTTTAGCAGCAATGACGGCCCGACACCGCCTCGGCATAGAAGCAATCAAATTATTGCAAGTTTCAATCGAAATCTACCCATGCCTCTTTAAATGCCGTGTATAGTTGATGCACGTTACTTGTACGTTTTTTTGCAACCATTTTCTTCACACGGGACCACAAGTTTTCGATCGGGTTAATGTCAGGACTATACGGTGGCCAATCCAAAACTGTTACTGATTGGCTTCTAAGAAATTCTTTGACCACTGCTGAAGTGTGTTTGGGATCATTATCATGTTGAAAAGTCCATATCACCGGCAAATAATCCTCGGCATAAGGTAACATGGTGTTTTCTAAAATATTTTTATATTTAAATTTATCCATGTTACCTTCTATTTTTTTAATAGGTCCCACACCGTGACCAGAAAAACATCCCCAAACTTTGATATTACCCCCTCCATGTTTAACAGTTTTTTTTTGTGTATTTTGGATCCATTTCTTTTTTTGAAGGACGCCTCACGTAAACTTTTCCATCAGAGTTAACCATATTTATTTTAGTTTCGTCAGAAAAAAGCACATTTTTGCTCTGTCCAATGAGCATATTTTTTGGCAAACAGCAATCTGGTTTTGATGTTTTCTTTCTTCAAAAGGGGTACCTTCCGAGAAATTCTTCCAAACAAGTTTGCCTCACATAATCGCCTTCTCACCGTTCTTGCAGACACTCCTCTAGATTCCTCTGCACCAAATACTTCCAAGCGAATGACTTCTGATCCTTTGAAAGGGTCTTTTTTAGCAAACAATTCTATTCTTGGTCTTCTCGCTGGGTTGTTTTTCGCGGTCTAGGTTTCCTAGGCACATTTTCCGTAGTGTTAAATTTCTTAAAATGCCGGATAGCGTTCATTACCATATCTTTCGAGCATCGCAAGTGTTCTGCAATTTTCCTATATGACCACCCTTTTTCATAAAAAATCAGAATTATCTTCCTTGTGGAAGGATCGCAACTTTTGCTTTTTCCCATAATATTTCAATTTAAATTTCACAATAAACTTAGAGCACGGCTAAAACTGAGTGAGATTTTGCGTATCACGAAAATTCGCTCAATATTAGAAAAAATCAGTGCTCTTTTTTATTTTTTATTTCAAGTTTAGAACACGAAATACGCACTGTCTTTAATTAGATGGCCAGCAGCTAATGTATCGAAAAAGTTTGAATGATATTTGAAACAGGAACTATGTAAACTCTTTTTAGTTAAACTTTGATACTGTTCTCATTTTAAAAAATATATTATGTCAGTGTATGTAAAATGACTATTAAAATGGAATTGATACCTATCTTGGGTCTCTAAATATCATTTAATTTGTTGTATGTGGTCAACATCAAGGGTGTCTTTAATTATGTGACCACCACTGTATATCTTTCGCCGCATCAATGGATACACAAATTACAAATTTTATAATGAAAAGAATACTTACCAAAGCAATGTCGTTGGCTTCTCTCTTAAGTTTAATCATGGCAGCCTCTAAGGATAGGCATTGTTCTGCACGTTTTCTTGCCCTTTGCAATTGCTCCTCCAAAGCATCTCTTGTTTCCATAAGAGCCTTATTATCCTCCCGTAACTCTGTTACCCGAGTTTTGTAATATTCCGCATCAGCAAGACGATCACGATAACGTTGAATTTCTTGCTCTAATCTGAAAAAAATTTAATTTCATCATAATATCGAGTTCTTAGGTTTTCGCGATTGTTACACATAGGAAATGAAACTATTTTTCCGGATTTAAATCGCGTATATTTGTTTTTTGAAACAAACCGACGTTTCGGGCCCTTTACAGGTCCCATGGTCACGGTTGACTGTTTTGAAAAAACGTCGGTTTGTTTGAAAAAACAAATATACGCGACTTAAATCCGGAAAAATAGTTTCATTTCCTATTCATCATAATATTCAACAAATTACGATCAGTTTTACATTTAGGACTTTGCCCATCTTATCGTATGTAGCATAGACTCCAATATTTCATCTAATGTAAACGACAATGCGTCTTACATTATAGACGAAATATTTATGACCTATAGTCAACTTGGGTTCTTAACATACCTGTCGCATCGTTCTGCCTTTTCTCTAAGAGCATCAACTTCGTCCCTATATCCTGCAGCTTTTCTAGCTTCATTGAACCATTCTTGACTGTCAGTCCTCAATTTGGCAAGTACTAATTTCGTATGTTCAAATTCTTCGCGACATTCTGATAATTGTTCAGACTTTTCTTCTCTGAAATTGTACAACATAAAAAATTTATAAGTTTGGTTATTCAATGTTTGGTTATTTATTACACATTTTTTTTTAATACACAAACAAAGCTTACAATTCTTGCCGTTGTTTTCGTAATCGTGCCTTCCAATCGGCCAATTCTACCGCGAGATGTTGACTGTCCCCATTAATTTGATTGACATTTTGGGTCGACCGGCTTTTCCCATTTTTGTTTTCATTTTCGTTCTCGCATAGACCTTCATTTAGAACTATGGAAGCCCAGTTTTGGAGATAATGATCTCGTTCTTTGGCCAGTCTACGCATGTGGTTGAACAACGTCGGAGATTGAAAGAGATCTATGGCATCTGGTGTCAAAACCACGGTTTGCATATCGGTTACCTATAAAAATAACGTATTAAACAATTTTTTTAATAATAAAAAGATATACAACTACAAAATAAGCAATCTAAAACATATTTTGTCGAAAGGTCGACTAGTTACGTAATTTTTACGGTAAATACAAGTAATGAGCAGGGCCGGTTGCCAAGAATTGTGAAATTTGTCACCTCAGTAAGATTGAAGGCCACAAATTCAAGTACATTGAAACCTCCAATTTTCGTTAGGTAAATCCTTACTTCGACTGTAAGTATATTGGGAAATATCGCACACGCAACAAAAGCTGTCAACTAATTGTTACGTAGCTATTTATAACTCCATATTATCGTCTACTTTGTTTCGGTCGGCTGATTCTTTACCTCGAAAAGTAGATACTTTAGCTATCGTCACATCATGAGGGCGACTTGTTTTTTACCGTAATGTTTTTGAAAAACTCAATTAGCAACTACGAGGGTATTATACAATCGTCTTCTAGTATTCCGTAATATACTTTTACGCCCAGAACTAATCATTTATACAAGCAGCTTTCCTCTGACGCGCAAACGAAACCCTGACCTTATTATGTCTTAAAACTAAATCACGATTTGCCATTTAAGAGGTTAAAAAGTATAGTGAAACGAAATTATAGAGCTTCCGGATACTTGAATGACATAAATTCATGGTAGTGACTCGTAATATTTGAATTAAATTGTAAATATTTTACATTGCTAAAGTTACAGTTTCGTACTCATTCACCCCTCGAGTTTTTACTCATACTATCAACGAATGAATCTCGAATGAGTTGTGTATAATGAATGTAATGATTTATTAATTTGCTTACTTAAGAAATAGAGGTATTATATTTGAATTTCAACCTGATTTCCAAAGAGATATTGTTTGTGAACAATTATCTTAATTAGCATAATCATACACAACTTAACAGCGGCGTTCTGTTTTGATTGTAACCGATATTTTGATACCGTTCCATAGTTCTTTGGAGTTTCATGATCACGGTATATTGAAAATGTTATCAGCGCGGAAATAAAATTAACATTAATTAGAGTTACCTGTCGGACTACTTATTCAGTATAGATTAAGCAATTTATTCAAAATTTGAACTAGGTTTAATCTTTTTCGAATAAATTATAAATCATTTCCTATTGCACACGATTCGAGCTTTATGGCGCCAGAGAAAGTATTAACTTCGATGATGTAATTGAGTAAATTAGCGCCATACTTAAACAAATCCGATTTGTTTAAGTATGGCTACAATATAGAAAAGTAGGACTTGAGATGTTTTTTGCAGTAATACAAACCTGTTTAATACACTCTACAATGCTATGTTGCAGTTCTACGTCTAGCTCTTTGATTCGAGTGATAAACAGCTCTTTGTTGGGACACTGTACAGCAGCGCCGAGTAGCAATAAGACCAGTAACTTCATATTTTCCAGGCCATCTCTGGACTCAGGAGCTTTTCCCAAGCATATGCATTCTGGAACTACTAGCAGGGTCATTCCCAGTTCCTCCTCATATAACCCTTTTACATTTTTTATGATCGCATCAAAGTTTTTAACCCTGCCCAAGATAAGTGCCTGATCCTCCAGCCCAGCAAGTTTGGTGATATGACAGGAAGGCTCTGGGTCTATCTGGAGGTACACCTGATGCAGGATGTCGCCACTGAAGAGAGAGGAATACTCTGATATGCAGTCTGGATTTGGGAGACATGATTTTACCTGAAAAATACAGAATAAGACCACTAAACACCTAAACTATAGACCTAGACCATGTATCACAATATATTAATAAAAATACAGTTTACACGTTCCTGTTACTTCATTATGTTGACACCACCCACTTTTTTGAAATTTATTTAGAAAATAAGGAAGCTTACGAAATTGCTCTGTTGATCTGAATTGTGTAACAACCAAAACACAAAACACACAGTTACATAAAATTAAAGATTTATGAAAAACAACATAAATTGGAAGTGAATGATATACTGAATATTTATGTAAAACTTACTAATTTCACTTGACTAGACGTTTAGAAATCTTAGTGCTACATAAAACAATAAGTACTGTTTATATCTTGGGAACCAGATTGTGTGAGGCTGTAATGTATGGAAGATTGTAGACAACAGTATATATTTAAATATTTGAATGGAACTAATAATTATTGTAGCTGTTGCCTTGACCTAATCTGATACTTAAGTTTGTATTTAAATCTTGTGTTGCTCCTATAACTTAACAACAATGTATGAAGTAATGATTATTGAAATCACTACCAACAGTGCACACCTGATCTATATTTTATTTAGCATTAGAAACAAATAGTTTCAGATTGTTTATGAGGCACAACACTGGTCAAGTATTGAAAAAAATGTACAAACTTAAATAATCATTAGTTTTTTACTTTATATTTATTTTGCAAAATATTTAAAACATTTAATAAATATGTCTGTACATGATACATTGTTAAAAACTAGTACTTTAGAACACCTAAAGAAGTGGTGACTTGAAACTGAACATTTTAGTAATAATATATGACAAAATTAAAAAAGATAATGTTAACCATCCAATACAAAAAGGCGATCATAAAATTAGTCTTGATGGAAATATCAACTTCACTCTCAAATAAGGTTTATGCACACTGCTTCTTTGTTTAATATTTTTCTAATGCTAAATAAAATTAAATGTAACTACTCCCAATTTATCACTTATTATTTACATAACTAGAAGATGTTTAATCATCATCCACAGTCGAAAGCTGTTTCTGTACATTATATTACTGGATTCATACAGTGTGGTGTTTATGAGGTAAGTATATGCCTGCAGTTTCACTCACACGAAACATTAAAGTAAATTGTATTTCAACCCAAACCCAAAGAAAAATGGTCACAAGTGGGATATATATTGACGCTGGAAAGGTAAAATCTAATCTGCATTTGGAAAAAAAAACAGAACTCCAATTTTATTTGTTATATGGAAAACTAGAAAGTTTCAACTTATGACTTTTCTTCTTAAAAAAAATACTTTAAATCTCTGTCCTGTAATATTTTTCAAATGCGTGTTAAATATTTTACTTTGCCAGCATTGATATATGCAATAGCATCACAGCATATTTTTTAAATTAGGTAAGTACTTATTTAATAAATAATAAACATAGCGACTAAACACTTAATTCTAAGTATACACACCTATACATAATGCCTTTCAGTTGATAAAAGGTTTGATAAAAAAAGGCTTTCTAAACTGAGTGAGGCTAAACAATATACAGCAGAGAGTCTAGCAATAATGTTTGATTCGGTTCTACTGAGCTGATACAGGGAAGTACAGGAAGCTTACAGTCTAAATAGAATGGAATGCAATGCCACCATCTAAAAAAAGTGCAAAAATGCAAATAAAATCACACGTTCATTCATACGGAACGGCTGTGTAATTTTGTCTCACGCTTCATTCTTACGCACAAAGAAATAAAATAGGCACGGATGGTTGATCACTCACCCACGATACAAGAGGCCCGTTCAAGAAGTCTTCAATTTCAGTCCCTGACGCGGCCATTCTTGCCGTGTGTTAGGATGAACAGAACCTGTTCCTTGATTCCTGTCCGGAGCGCATGGCACCAAATTCACCCACGGATTTGATACGAATACTAAATCTGTTCCACATCTGCAACTGAATACAACAGAAAGCGACTGCAAACACCACTCACAAATTCAGACTGACACTTTCCACAGATTATCATTTTGTTGTTCTGCCCTCCGATTCTCTTTGCTCCGATTTCACATCAAAGACTTTTGGAGGGAAAAGTGTCGTTTTTATTTTGTGAAATCTAGTTTAAAGTGGAATAGGATAGTGCTACTGTGCCTTAATCGAAGATTAAATGCGAAATTATACGAATCTCGAACTAAAATACCCGTATCCGTCCGTTTTAAGGAATCCCGAGTCAATCCAAGCACGCCGCCTCAAATTGCCTATCCTCTTTGTGGCGGCCATATTTACAGAAACATATTTAAACTTCATGTTTAGGCTGTTGGCTTTACCAAAGCCTTAATAAATTTGTAAAAAAAATCAAAGACTTAAGGACTATCCACTATCAGGCCATGCCCGGGACGTGGCCGGGGCGTGCTAGTTTGTATGAACTGCGGGTCCGTCCCGGCGCCGGCCCGGACACGGACATGTGTGAACGAGTTCATAAAAAATATACGCAAAAAAAATTTTTAGCCCCTGACAGAGCGCGGCCCGCCCACGTCCGTCCCGGGCACGGGGGTCTACTCTCGTTGTACGATGTCTTTAGTTTCTGACGTTTTCTACTCCGTATCACTACGGATATAAGTTTCAGTCAGCCCGAATATGTGTAGATAGACCATTAGTTGTTCGTGTAAGTACATACTTGTAGTTAAACCACCTACACACGATACGAGCTCGCTTTGCTTGCCGATCGACCGGAAACTACAACCATAGTCTTAAATAACTTTACATTTCGTGACTGTCCTCTTTGACAAAATAAGAAGCTTCCGTCCTCATCTCTATTCTTTTCATTTCCGTCTCCCTCCCCTCCGCTTCATCAACGTAATCAATCTGAATCAAAATCAATCAAAACTTGTGCATTTCGCACACAAATTCGTTTGGTTTTGCTTATTATTATATCCTCTACAATAAGAGGATTCTATTATAACACTATTTATAAAGTGCTAGTGATATTTTATAAAATGAGCTGTTTGTGATTTTTCTATGGTTGGCGTGTCGATCTATAAAAATTACAGTTGTACATTTTACTTCTGAGCAAAATTAATTATTATTCAAGCATAATGTTCAACAAATCCTCCCCGAAAGTTAAATTTCAAGACCAGCAACTCGACGATTATGTATTAGAGGTAAATTACATTAATTTAATTTTAAAATCATATTAAAAATTATAATATTGAAACTTTTATCCTATCAAGAAACAACATTGATTTGATAATAATATATCCTCTACAACAAGAAGATACTATTGTAACACTATTTATAATGTGCTAGTGATATTTTATAAAATTAGCTGTTTATGATTATATATATATATATATATATATATATGTTATTTTTCAATTGACATTTCAGAATTCAGTACTGAAAAGTAAATTACAAAGCAAAATAGACGCACTATCTATAATGAGCAACGAATTAGATAAATGCAGCATGGAACGAGACCGTTATAAAGTTTTAGTTGAACAATTGAAATCGAAGAAATTGATAACTTTGCCAAATTATGATATTGGTAATATGTATAGATTTACACCAACAAACACCATAAGTGGTGGAGACATGTTAGCAAAGACTAGAGATCAAAATAATATGCTAAAACTGGAGGTAAGTAAAATTCCTTTTTCCTTCAAAGGATCTAGTGACCTGTAATAAAAGTTTTTTATTCTTATCTCGAGCACCAGGCTCTCACAAAACAGCATGCCCAATCTTGCTTTTAACCTATATGTTCCTCTACTTATTAAGCCTGTTTTTGATGAGAAAATAAAGCAAAATTTCATTTAATTTCACAGTAATATTGAGTTCTTAGGTGTTTGCGAGGAGGAGTTTAGGGGGTTGTCACACATAGGAAATAAAACTATTCTCACAATTTAAATTGTGTAATATGACTGATAATCTGCCATGTCCATGATACCTGTAAAGGACCTAAACATTGGTTTGTTTGAAAAAACAAATGTATGTGCAGTTCATATCGAAAAAAGATTTGTTTCCTATTGGTTAGGTACTTTAAATTATAATCAAATTATTATTCCTTGGATTCCTTTTATCTGTGATGAAATAGAAGTCCAAAAATGAAAACAAAGTTGATAGATACTTGCCTGTGCCCTTACAGGGTGTCACATGTATTTACATTTTCAAGCTACTGTACTTAATATAATACAAGTGTGACGATGCAATAAATGAAATGGAATGAAATACCATTACAAAAAAGATTTTAAAAATATTGGAAATTTGAAAAGGGCTAAAAACAATGCAATTTGTTTTATATTGTTAACATATTGATAACGTGTGTGCACGTAACAGTTGCGTTACGTTTGTTTGCATTTGCGTGGGCAAATGCAAACAAAATATTATCCAATAATCATTGTTATTTAAAACACCCTATTTAATAAGATACGCTCAAAAATCTCTTGTAAGAAAAACATTTTATTAAATTTGACCAACTTTCTTTTATTGAATCTTATTTCGACCCATACAATGAAATAATCCATAAAAGAAGCCGAGTCTATCAGTGTTAAAAAAATAGTCCATTTTATTAATTTTGTACCAAAAACATTTTATGACGTTTGACCAACTACTGCTGTTTTCATCCTATACAATTAAATAATCCCTTTATGAAACTGAGTCGATCACCACTAAAAAATTTGATCAATTTCATTCATTTTTGTGGAGAACCCATGCTTGATCTTGACTATGCCAAAATTGTTTTCACAAAAAAAAAAGGTTCCTACGACAGTTGTATTTTCTAACCTTGTATCTTCTATGGTTCCATATTTCTCCATACTCTCCCATTAAAAAACAACACTATAGGTGTTGGTAGAGCTTTACCACTTTGCATAATAATGTCCATTTATATTTGTACTTTCTAGCTGTCAAAACCTAACTGTTTGAATGATAATATTATTACAGCAATTATATACTTTTGTCTTACAGGCCTATATTTTTAAAATATTTTTTTCTCATAATAACATATTTTACCTTTCTGAGAAACTGTTTTATTAATCTTGCATAGTTAATCTTTTTTAATTGTACCAAACTTCTATATTATGAAATGTCTGGCATAAGCTTCCTCTCCCAGTAGTAGGCAATACATCAGAATATGTGTGGCGACTTTATGGTAGATCTTTTTAGTTACTTGTTTAGTTAAACTTCAATGTTTAGGTGGAAACTCTTCGCAGTAAACTAGAAGAAGCAACTTTGGACATAGTGGCTCTTAGGAAACAGTTGCAGAAAAGAGAAACACATGACGATGTTAACGGTATCAGGAAAATTAATAATGCTTCCTCATACTCCAACAAGGATTATGAACAATTAGTTCAAGAACTGGAGAAAATACTAAAAAAGGTACTGTATACAAATAATTTAAAGTAATTTCAATTTGTAAAGATTTGGAGTTGTCTAAATTCACCTGAAACAGTAAAGTTGCCCCTTGATTAGGAGAGATGTGTAATGTTTAAAGAAGTCTAAAACATTGCAATTTCCAATTTTTTCTATGCAATGCGTGTTGTAGAATTGCTTTATACTTGATATTATATTACAGTACATTCACGCTGCTATGTTACAGTACATTCACGCTGCTACGTTACAGTACATTCACGCTGCTACTTCCTTCCTACAGTCATTCATTATCTCATTATTCTGAATTTCATGTATTTTAAATTTGCTATTATCTGAAATAAATTACTACTAGAAATGTTAAGGTTCATTGGTGCTATTAAAGTAATTACTTTGTCATTAATTTGCTTAGTACCAACAAATTCAACTAGACTACCGAGCCATGCTTGATGAGAAAGAAGAACTTATTTCTGATAGAGACTACTACAGAAGTAAAGTACAAAGATTAAACCACCAAATAAGCTATATGCTATCAAATAGAGTGAAACCACTTCAAGACAAAGATTTAGACTCTCCAAAACCAATAGTAGATATAGATGCTCTAGTCACTGAGAATAAGTATTTGAACGAGAGAATAACGCAGCTTCAAGTTGAGAAAGAGATAATTAAAAGGACATTGGCTAAGTACAAGGTGAGTGTAGATAAATAAATTTTCCAATTTTTAAGAGTGCACTTGTTTTCAATAAAGTAAGAAGTAGGTTTGTAACATTTTCAATAAAAGCAATGATCAAAATTTTTCACACTATTTACAGACTTTGTTGGACAATAGAAGTAAGAATGAGACATTAAACATCAAGAAAGGATTTGCTGATGTTATGACTCAAAAACAAGGTATGTGCGACACCTATGTAATGATGACCTGTTTTGCTTTATACCATAAAAACTTGGTAATAGTGAATGTTTTAGATAGGTACATTTATATTAATACATTTCAGTTCGAGAATTCCTAGACATCAATTCTAAAACGGGTTTGAAAAGAACATCGGCTGCTGAACTGAAATCTCTTTGTCTGGGACTGTTTGAGGCACTCAATGATAAGTCTATTGCCCTACAACATCAGAGAAAGACCAACCAGTATGTATTAGAATATATTCATAAATTAGTTTTTGGATGAAGAGAAAACCTTGTGAGCAGAAAAACCTTTTCTTTTTCTTGGATGTCATAAACAAAGATTAAAAGGTACAATTAGGAGAGTTTAGGTGTTGCTTGCTTGGATGTAATGAAACAGTAGTCATAAATTTATTTTCAGATTAGTCTACTATTGTACATTTTTTGGTCTCTTACTAGTAGGTAGTTTAGTGAGTTTACATAGTAGCGACGGTAGCGCCACCATCGTGGCGGTGGCACTGTCGTGATAGTGGTCGTGGCGGTGGCACTCTGGTGCGCGGCTACTCAGTGGCGATATAGCGCCGCCATGCGTATTGATGTGAGCGCTGGTGCTCAGGCGATTTTGGCTTTATTTTGATTCTTCGACAGTCTACCTTCGACCTATCACAGTTTATTTGAAAAAGGCTAATTAATATGAAACTATTTTTCGGCTATTGATCTCAAATATAAATTCTAATACTTAAAGAACCATTTTATTTAAACAATTTGAAATCATTTTTCATGTGTATACAATGTATTAAGTTTATTGCATTCAGTACTCGCGAATAAGAGTTTAGATAGGTTTCCGGGTACGAACGTTTATCAGAGGACCCAACAAGCAGTTCTGTTATTTTCGCTATTTGAGAGGGGTAGCCATAACTGAACGTCACAACTTCTTCGAGTGTATGTAACGCAATTGTGGATACTCCGTATATTTCAGAGTAAATTTAACGGTTAACAATACACTTAACTTTCAGAATTCTAGCCAACAGAATAACTGAATTAGAAAAGACCCTAGAAAGTTGGTGCAATGGTCAAAAGTATATTCCAATATTTCCATCTCGAATGTTACTCGAAGAATTTTTACCAGATTCGGGTTCAGTGAAATCCGAAGACGCAAAAGATAAAGAAATTAAAGAGAATACAAAAAGTGATAATAATAAAAGCAAGTATTCTGACAGTGATGATGACAACAAAGATTACAGTGATGGATCATCAGATTTGAAGAGCGATGGTGGAGAATTTGGAATGACAAGTATAGCTTCAAAAACTGTATTACCTTTAGAATTGGAGTTACTTGTAAAGGAAGCTCTAGCTGAACTAAAACCAATGGGTTAAAGTCATTATACAAAAGATTCGGTTATGACCAGTGCATTTATCTTGCGGACATACTGCAAAAAATATGCGGTGGAATTACACGCCGTCGAACTACCAGCTAAAATACATTATAGAAATCGAAAAAAATTGGGCGAAACAAATTATAGTTTTAGTTTTGACTTAAGTACATATTTAAACCAAAGAATAATTGAATGTTACATTCTTAATTAAGACCTAAGTCAGTAATCTAGTCTATTAAATATCAATTATCTAGTCCAGTTTTATCCATTTGCTGTATTTTAGTGTATACTAAGTACTGTGTATTTGAATATGTATGTATTTATTTATTTAAAGGAAATAAAGAATTTATTGTGGTTTATTAACGGTTGGTTTCAGAATATTATTGATGTCGCCAAAGACTGACCGGCACTCCATTCGGCTAAAAAGCATCAATTGAGTTTTTAAGAAGCGGCTGTACAGATTACTAATTCTGGGCAATTTTTCTATTAGGTATTTATTAAAATATAAACTTTTCGTTTAATGTGATAATTATACACGGTGGCGGCGTACAAAGTGAATGATAATTTTGTATCTCTATGTTCTTATTGTGCTCAATACCAATACAAACAACTTTTATTTTACAACTTTATACATATAATTTTTATGACAACATACTAGATCAGCGGATCATCAAAAGTTTTGTTTGAATTTCTAGAAGTCGCAAAACGAAATTGATAGAATTTATGAATACATTGAGCCTTATGTATTATTGCTCCTTTTTCGTACACACCTTTATAATGGGGGTAATGGAAAGAGTATTTACAAATTATATCTAGTGCACCAAGTCGTTAAATTGCTACGAGCTACCTGGCATCACTTTTTACTGCATAACTTCACGTTATAGTTAATAACTGCATTAAATTCAAAACTTGCACAATACTATCAGATCCACTCATCGGTGTCCAAAGAGTGAAGGGCAATTTGGCACAAAGTGGCAGCATCGCATGACGCAGCGCTTGCGCTCTGGTGCACAAACAGTTTTGTGATATTCAATTTCTTTTGCATAATATTAGGTACTTTAAATGATACTAAAGTACATAATTATAAGCATTTAGCTGCCATTTTCATGGATAAAAAATTTAATAATTATTAGGGAACATATCGTGAGAAAACCAGCATAAAATATGTTTACTAGTGGGAATAATCGTATCGCTATTGGTTTTTACCAATACTTTATCAATTAGATAAATTAGATAAATCACTATTAATTAATAAAGAGTAAGTTAACGAAATTTATTTCGCTTCTCAGTCAAGGTCTCATCTCATTTGAATCAAAAATATTTTATTCGTCAAGACTTGTAAAAGGTTTTCCTTATAGACTAGATGGGGACTACTTCGCCGCTAGTATATTTTTTCGTTTATAATGCTGTACACAGTGGCTCGAGATATTCCTGCACTTTCAGCTATCATGTCAGCTGGTATTCGTCTTAGGACACATACTAAATCTATGCCTTTCTTTACTGTAGTACCATTACACAGTTCCATTGATGGTACATAGGCAATTTTTTTTGCCATTGTTCCATTAATGGTACCGTGGAAGTTTTGTTTTTGCCCTCGATCCATTGAATGTACTACGGCAAAACATGTTTTCCCTAGTATCATTACAAATATAAATATACCTAATATATTAATATATATATTTTTAATACCTGTCGTATATTCCTTACTGGTAGTTAACATTTTCTTACATTTTTAAAATGTAAAATTGGCTATTGAATACACTGGTTCACAAGCTTAGAGGATGGAAAAAAAGTTAACAAGAGGCGGACTCGTGTAAGCACACTGGTTGGCGGTTGCTAAGAGATGAGGGAACGAACCCTTTTGGACCAGTTATACCATTGCATTATACCATTAATGGTATAAATAGGACCAATCTGTCCCATTAGTACTCTTAATGGTATAAGTAGGACAGTTAAGTACCATTTATACCATAGTTTATTATTCAATGGTATAAATAACTGGGATCAACTAGTACGACCTAATACCATTACAGGTACCTATAAATGGGACAAGTTAGTCCCATTTATACCATTACTGGTACAATTCAATGGTATAACTGGTCAAAAGGGTTCGTTCCGTGGCTTAGTTGGCATAGCGTCTGGCACGGTTTGCTAGAAGACGTCGGTTCGAATCCGGCCGGATCGAAGGTATTTTTTCTAAGTGTTCGATCTTTGTATTAATAAGTTTGAAACGATTTTATTTGATTTGATTTGACTCAACTGATTTATTTCAAAAAAATATTATAATTCCATTCGTTATATATTAAAAAAATTTATTTAATTCTTGTTTCTGGTACCTATAATCCCACTGGACCCATTAGTGGAACCAAGAGTGGAAGTAATAGTCCGAAAGGAATTTAATTCCAAACTGTAGGTACTACGGATACCAAAAAGATACTTTGCCATGGAACTATCACGTAATGGAGCGACGACATAAAAAAAGTTGCCTCTGTACCATCAATGGAAATGATGGTATTACGGTAAAGAAAGGAATCTATGGGTTTAACTAATATGCGAATGTTTACCATCATTGGTTTTCACTGGAGCTAAGAGGATTTTATTTTTGGCGTTTCTTCGGTAAAGTAAAACACTAGCTAGGCAGATTTTGATTTTTGCGCTTCAAGCCACTTTGGCCGGCTTTGTCTATATGATTTTCGAAAGATGGGAACGAAAATAAGAAGTATAACAGAATATTATAACGAGTTAATATTAACATAATTAATATGATACATAAGCAAAAATTATATGATGCCACTTGCTCTCGTGAGAGATGTCAGACAAAGTGGGCAAAAATCTTAGACCTATACAGGTGGACCCGTATAAGTAGACAGTTAGATGTATAATAGCAACCAATTTGAATAAAGTCTGCGATCACCATTTAAACTGCTTTCTGTATTTTTAACAAAAAAATATTTTATTATAATGAATCCATATACAATCTATGACTAACTCAATATATTATTTTGAAGCACTAACATTGGATATACGTGTTTTGTGAGGTACATTGTACAATACAGGTAAATGCTTTTTTGCCGTGATCTTTGGATCACGAAATTCTAATTTCGCTTTCCACACAATTCTTGCGTCCCTCAGTCTTAAATTTTAATAAAGAAAATAGCAAATTACAGTTGGTTAAATAATAACTACTTAAAGTAATAAAACTCGTATTGAATATTAGATTAAATGCGTAAATTACGAAATTATATTATAAACATGTACAAACTTATATTAACAATAGGTATACAATGTACACGTAACACATAAAGGGTTTTGCACAAGGGTACAAGTGTATGCACTGTTAAAGTTGCCTACAGATTGCCTTTCACAAACAGACGCAGTGGCAGGCATTAATGATGCCGCGCCGGCCGCGTCTGTTTGTTTAAGTCTTTGTATTATTTATAACGACATATTGTATTTCAAATTAATTAAATTACATATACGTGGGACCATTAAATTAAAAAATATATACTAATTTTGAAGAGGTAACTAAAATCTATCAAATCCTATATTAATCATTAATTCGCAAATAGAAAATAAATTAACTAACAATTAAAAAAAGGCCCAAAAACATTAAAACATCTCTTTTTTAGAAACTTGATATGAAAAGATTTTACTAATTGTTACAATTCACTTTCACAATTAATCTATACAGTGTGTTAGGGCACGCACTGTACAAACTTTAAGGGGGTG